GAGGAGGGTCAGGAGTTTATTGCACAAATATTCGTTGAGCATATTCTAGATACCAAGCACTGAACGGAACCCTGAGGATTTGAAAATGATAACAGTCTATTAGATACACAGGAGCTTATACTGGGGGGAGACAGTTGGATAAATCAATATTCACAGTTCTCATGAATTAAGGAATAATGATGTCTACTTAAAAGTAATTACCAGGCAGTGTTAAAAGACGGACTACAGAGAGGCCATCAAAAGGGGAATGAAGGGGACTTCCCTGGCGGCCCAGTGGCTAAGACTCTGTGCTTCCAATGCAGGGGGCACGGGTTCCATCGGGGGTCGGGGGAAGTAGGAGCCCACATGCCGCGTGGTGTGGCCAAAAAATTTTTAAAATAAATAAATAAAATTAATTTTAAAAAGGGGAATGAAGGAGGTCAGGCCGGAGCCCCACTTCAGGGGGCAGGGCCGGTGAGGGCTACCAGCCTGGTGACTCAGCAGAGCCTCAAGGGCAAGATCATGCCCTCCTCTGTGAGGGGCTTGGAAAGGCAGGAGGGGGAGAGAACGTGGGGTGCCTGAATGCCTGGAGAGGACAGGGGAAGGGAATACCTGCAACGGCCAGAGAAATAACTGGGAACAAGGGCTTCAGAATTCGGCCCAGGTTCTGCCTGGGAAGGAGCTAATGGGATGGGATTGACGGTGAAGCTGGAAATGAAGCTGAAGCACAACTGAAAAGGAGCGAAGCAAATAGAAGCAAAAGCAAAGCACTGGGAGAAACTTAAACAGGAAACACTGGGAAATAATGGGAGCAAGAGACCTTGCTTCCCAGAGCAGCGCAGAAACTTCCAGGAGAGGCAAATGGTGCCCGGCATCGAATGGGTCCAAAGCTGACACCCGTGGCAGCTTTTTGAGAGTTAGAAAGATGTGCCCTCTCCACACAGACACATTTTAACAGGGAGCCCTCTGGGCAGGTGAACTAGAAAGTGCCACCCGCTGCTCCCCCCTCACCCAGGACGCTGGGAGCTTACTCAGCAGCTGTGCTCCCACCAAGGCCTCGAGCCAGATGGACTCCCCACCACTGCGACCAGCGTACTGGGACTCGGCATCACACCCAGGGTGACTGCCGGGCCCTAAAAGTGTTTCATCTACTTCTGGGTTGGTAGCAGCTGGAGGAAGACAGCAGGCTCAGGCCTTTGTAGTGACACCGTGGGATGTGTACTTGGGGAAACTTCTCTGTGGGTTCCCTTCGGCTGCAGAATAAGACGGTCTGAGAAATGAGGGGCGCTCCGGATAAGAGGCCCCGAGCGAGCGCCCCGTGCAGTCAGCTCTTTGATCTGCAAGGTACCGTCCTGCTCTCAGAATCTGTGGCTGGAGCAGATCCACCCCAGGCATGACCCCAGTCATTGATAGGGAACGACTGCAGAGAGGAAGCCTGGAAGTGGATTTATTCAATAAATATTTATAGAGCGGCTCATCCTTTCATCACCTTGCTTTGGGACAGCTCTTGACTGTTCACAGAGTGTTTTTATGTTTCTTCTGTAATCAGTCCTTCGTGGCAGTAACCATGTAAAGTAGGTAGGAACTATCATTCACATTTTACAGATGAAGAAACTGGATCTCAGAGAAATTGACTTATTAAGGTCATATGAAGGAGGCTTGGCAAAACAAGGGCTGGAACCTGGCTCTTCGGACAGGGTACTTTCCACTATTCCAGAAAGTGCTGTGGCTAATAGAAGAAATGCAAAAGCCCCTACAACAGCACCATCAGCAGAAATATAATGTAAGCTACATATATAATTCTGAATTTTTTGGAGGGGAGCTAAAAAGAAGCAAGTGAGTTTAATTTTAATAATAATATTTAATCCAGTGTGTTAAACATATTATCAATTCACCATGTAGTAAATACGAAGCAATATTAATGAGGTGCTTTCATGGTTTTTTTTTTCATACTAAGTCTTTGAAATCAGTGTGTATTTTATACTTAGAACACATCTCAATTAGGATGCTGGATTTTTATTAGAAATACTTGATCTGTATTTAGATTTCATAAAATTTACAACTGAAAAGTAGATTCATATACTCAAGTTGGTCCAAGCATACTTAAAAGTTTTCCGATAAGTAAACTGAGGATCAGTTTTTAAGTTACATTTACATTAATTAAGAATAAATAAAAAATTTAAATTTAGTCCCTCGGTGATGCTAGCCATATTTCAAGTGCTCAATCGCCACGTGTGGCTAGTGGGCCTCCCAGGAGCCTCCAATCTGGTAGACCCGATATGTAATTTGCTCTATGTGTTAGTTAATTTAGTCTTGTCCCTTGATAACCATGTTAAAGGTTGGTCTTCTCCATCCTTGCCCATCATTGCCCATCTCCTTCGGTGGCCTCCCGTGACCTAAATTAAATCTATTCTCACTTCCTCATTCCCACAGCTGCTTGCTGTGCCCACTCCAGAAGATGGAGGTTGTCATGGCCCAAGAGAGGTGATATCTTTGTAACAGTAGCTCAGTAACTTTTAGGATAGAAACAGAGAAGAAGCTGGGAGAAAGAGTGGCTTCATGAACGGTTAGGACAGCGATATATTTAGGTGCAACCTGACGAGCCTTGTGGAACATCTTTGACTTACACAGGACTCTGGCCGTCAGAAACTTGGTTCCTCTGTTTTCAAAAGCAAGTCCATCTTGATAGAGTCTGACCATCTAAATTCTGGTTGGATTTTCATAGTAGTAGAAATGGCACTCCGTTTCTCCCAGGGGGGAAAAATGTCTTCTTATCTAAAAGTATAAGCAAAAGTGTAGCCCATTCACTGGATTGAGTTAAGAGCATTGTTCCTGTGTGGTTTTTAGGAAGACTTGAGTAATGATTCATTTGCCATCTGTGCATGAATCTGTGTTTGCCTCTTTCTTTTCCTACACGTGACTCATCGGCCAAGACTGTGCTGCTTTGAGGAAGAGCATCTCCTGCATCTTTGCTGTTCTGTGACCCCACTGGACCCAGGTCCTTGGGACTCGGGGACACTGCAAAATATTTGGCAAATATGAACTACGTGTGTCCAGCCCCTCATTTTGTCTCCACAGTATTGGCGCCTCAGCTCCACTGAACACACAAGCAGAAATGTTTCCTTGTCCCTTGCTTCCCTTGCTTTGTTCTCACGGGGTTTAGAGGTAAGGGTTGAGGTAATGAGGGTGCAGGTCCAGGCTGGTCTGTGAAACCTGACCCAGAGGCAATGTGGTTATTAAAGTCATCTTCTTAAACTCTTGAAGTTAAGATAGTTGATGTTAGCTGCTGGGAATGCAATCCTGCCAAAAAGACAAGCAGGAGCCTGTCTGGCCCCTCAAATATTTCACAATGGGAAGCTAGGAATGTGTCATAGCTTTCCAGGTTGCCGATCTCCTTAAATGCACATACAATTACAACTCATTCAAACACTTCTACTAACAAGTCAGAGAAGTATTGGGATGAAGAAGCATGTCCCACTAGTCCCGGGAGATGTCCCGCTAAATAAATGATCCACAATCAGATAAGCTTGAGAGACGCCACTGCTTCTCTTCCCCTATCAGAGACTCATCCAAGGCCGAAAAAAGCCCTCTTGCAAGGAAGCCTGTTCAGCTTGGTTTGCCTGGAGTTAACTAAACTTAATTGATTGTGAGACTTACTTTTTCAGGGAACACTTGTGAATCGCTCAAGAATTATTGCTCTCTGAACTTCTATGGTACATGACGATTTTAAATAACCTACTTCCAGCCTCCATTAAGATTTTAGTTATAAATTTTTTAGAAGGCCGTCAAGGCTAAGCAAGTATCTAAGGTAGCCCGTGGCATATCCAATATATAAAAATGACCAACTTCTGATATTTAGTCCTTCATTCATGCTTGACTCAGTAATGTTAAATTTTTAACATTTTAATAATTTCATAATCCTTGGAGATATTAAAAGAAACTAATCGTGCTGATCTTAGAAATCTGAATTGACTTGTTATATTTTTGTTGTGTTAGATATGTGATTCAGCTCCAGCATTCCACAGAACAGAACATTCTCAGATTGTGACTCCGTTAAAGTCTAAACTGGACTCAGCTAAAATGAACTTGCATTCATTCACTTAGTCAGTGAGTCAGGCATCAGTTAAATCAGTCGAGAAATATTTTTTGAGGACCAAATAGCCATGAACTAAGGCCCTAGGGAAACAGAAATGGAATATGCAAACTGCCCTTACCCTCTGAGTGCTTACAGCCTAGAGAGGAACACTAACATCACTCAAGTAGTAAAGGTAGAGAGGGGCTTCCCTGTTGGCACAGTGGTTGGGAGTCCGCCTGCCGATGCAGGGGACACGGGTTCGTGCCCCGGTCCGGGAAGATCCCACGTGCCGCGGAGCGGCTGGGCCCGTGAGCCATGGCCGCTGAGCCTGCGCTTCCAGAGCCTGTGCTCCACAACGGGAGAGGCCACAACAGTGAGAGGCCCGCGTACCGCAAAAAAAAAAAAAAAGGTAGAGAGAAAGTATAAGAGATCTGAGAAAAAAGATCAGATCTACCTTTCCCTCTCTAAGTTCAAATCTCTGTAAACTAGAAAAGGATGTAAAGGGTAAGGAGCCCACACTTCATCCAGAATGACAATATCCTTATTATTTAGGAGAGTCGCATCCCAAATGATTGGTTATAGCATTTCCAACAATAAAATCAATGGCCTAAATGTGAAATTAATTGGAAGTCACAGTTCTAATACACTGTTTTGGCGATTAGGCACATTAGATTGAATTGTTTCAGAATGCCTAATTATTGTGTCTGCCACACTCATCTGTTTGAGTCATTCCTAACTTTTGGACTGCTGCCTAGATCATTTCTGCAGTACGGTTGCAGTTTCGCATTCTTTTCTCTCTTTTTTAATGCATAACTTCCTCACTATATTCAAAGCTCAAAGCTCTAAACCGCACTTTCGCAAATTCTAGATAAGAGCCAAATAGTTTGTTAAAGTGTTGATTCCATTGAGTTTGGGTGTAAGTTGATATTTTATTTGTGTTTTGCAGGTTCAAGATTTAAAAGTGCCTGTGTGAAGTCACTTTTGCTGGAAACCACAGCCCGGGAGCTTTCGTGTTATCGTGTTTTGCTATCAAATACACATTACCCTGACCTTACGAGTGGATGAAGATACCTCAATTGTCTGGCTTTGCCAATTGCTTGATTTCGGAATTTTAAAAGGTGAAAGGAAAGAGAAATCCTGCTAAGATCTGAACATCTAAGTGGCTTATTTTCCAGCATCGTCAATAGCTGCGAGCATCAGAACTAAATATTCTCCCAAGGAGTGCCATGATATTGAAGTCACTTTATTAAAAACAATTGTGTCTGCAAAACGATCAGGCGACTCGGACGTTTGCAGTCAGAGATGACACTGAGCATGCTTTCATTGCGGCCCGCAGTCTTCGAGTGGGGCATATTGATTGATGAGTGACTACCTGCCGATAAATTCTCTCCTCACTCTGTTTCCTGGATTGGGCTTCTTTAAGCAATTTGTCACTTACCTTCAGACTTACATGTGGGATTTTTCACAGCAATAGTTTTGGAATCATTGGAACTTGATTTGATTTCATCATTTAACAGAAACGAACAGGATCCAAATTATTTTCTCATCATGGCTTTGAATGTTGCCCCGGTCAGAGATACAAAATGGCTGACCTTGGAAGTCTGCAGACAGTTCCAGAGAGGAACGTGCTCCCGTTCTGATGAGGAATGCAAATTTGCTCACCCCCCCAAAAGTTGCCAGGTCGAAAATGGAAGAGTAATCGCCTGCTTTGATTCCCTAAAGGTAAGACAATGTATTTTACGTGTCACATCAATGCCACGTTGGACTTTCAAATGGAATATTTTCCGTTGTACTTTTACAGACGTTTAACAATCGATTTTAGATCCTGTTTTCTTATTTGTGGTGACTATTGGGAGATTTGCACTCACATTTTTTCATATCAGGTATATATAAAGTTTTTACGGATCCATGTTTAAATTAAAAATACATGGTGCTGTATTTTTGGTCTGGCGTGACATTCATGTACCCAAGAGTTTTAAATCAAAGTCTGGCTTGTGACAACTGAGGATAAATATTTTATTAACGTTTGATCTTCTGGAGGTTATACAAAGGTGAAGAAATTGAATGTGTCACTTTTATGTGCCAGTTATTCTGATTCACCTCTTAAAGAATTTTCTACTCTTGTGGCTTTCTTTCTTGACCAAGGGTTTCCTAAAATACTTTACTTAACAGGTTTTTCACTCTCTTTGACAATCTGTCACGGCTAACAGAAATTATTAAGTACACAGGCGGTACTTCCTGAGAACCTACTATGTGTAAGTTAACACATAGCACATCAGAGAAGAAATGAATGTGATTCAAGATGGTATCCTTGGTGATCTCACTGGTAGGGAAAACACAGCAAATGGCTACAATGCAAGACAGAAAGGGACATGGGTCCTAAGAGAAGGATAGAGGGCAGACTTCTATGGGGGTCCATAGATGGGAGAGCTGGCTTCCAGCTGATTGTTTCAAGAAATGTTTTTGGAGGTTGTGGCACCTGAGTTGTATACTGAGTTTGGTGGAGCCTGGGCTTGAAGAAATGGGAGAATTATAATGAAAGATCTAATTGAAGGAAATGGGGATGCCTTAGCCCATAATGCTTTGAGGTTGATTTTGCCCTAAGATTATGGATTCTATCAATCCCTGACTGTCTAGGACAGTTCTAACATCAATGGATATAGGTAAGAGACATAGCTTAAAAGAAAAAAAAAAAGATTTGGGAAATCATAGTGCTGTGAGTTTACAAAATAGTGACCTTAGTCTTTTCTTGAGTATGAAGGGACTGGGTATGTTTTTTGGAAAAAATTCATCTTAAAGTAAAAAGACTTTTAAGTGAAAATTGAAATACAAGACTTCAAATCATATATTAAAGGGAAAATGTGTCTATATACTAAAAGCAGAAGAATGCATTTATAGCTCAATAGAATTATTTTAAGGATTAAAATTTGAAAAATTATAGATATGTGATTTACCTCAACAGCTACTCCATTTTCTTTCATTTTTATCTTTTTTGTCTAAGTTTATTAGATTAGACTTTAAAATTATAAATCATTTTGTCTACACAGAAATGAATAGATGGATAAATCACAATTCATATAAACTATAACAGCATAAGCACATTTCCATATTAGTATTTATTTTGCTTGTAGTCAAAAAAGTAAACAAAGTGTTTGCTTCTATGATTATCACCAATGGAAGCATTCACTATAAAAAGCAGTGTAGATTGAAAACTAGAACATAAGAACTTTAAGATATGGAATCAGGTCAGAGATGAGAAATTCATTTTCCAGGTCATCCCCAGTCTCTTCATTTTATTAATCCAACCCTTCTCTGGTTAGATATTTACTACTAAACTGAGATTTTAGCAAGTTTCTTAAAACTTTTAATTCTTGGACTCCCCTGGTGGTGCAGTGGTTAAGAATCCGCCTGCCAATGCAGGGGACGTGGGTTTGAGTCCTGGGGGTCCAGGAAGATCCCACATGCCTCAGAGCAACTAAGCAACTACTGAGCCTTCGCTCTAGAGCCCACGAACCGCAGCTACTGAGCCCGTGTGCCACAATTACTGAAGCCTCATGCCACAACTACTGAAGCCTGCACGCCTAGAGCCCGAGCTCGGCAACAAGAGAAGCCACCGCAGTGAGAAGCGCACGCACCGCAACGAAGAGTAGCCCCCGCTCGCCGCAACTAGAGAAAGCCCGCGCACAGCAACAAAGACCAACACAGCCAAAAATAAATAAATAATAATTTTTTTTTAAAAAGTGGTTTTGGTTCAAGGTGTTGGAGTGTGTGTGTGCCCACGTGATTCTGAAATGCACGATTTCAGATATTATGATGTGATAATGTACAGGACAGCTTCACACTTTAAGAATTCTTGGACCCACCAATTATACTTCCGGCATAAGAGACCCATTTCCCTATCAGGACTTCTACTCTCCCTTGTAAATCAACTGCTTCCCCTTTGTGGCCTCCCTTGACACTATTCAGACCTCTATATACAGTTGATTCCTCTAAGTATGTGTCCTTGTACAAGCAGGTAAGCTTCCCAAAGGCAGGATTGTGTCTTATTCATCTTTGTGCCCCAGCACCTAACGTGGTTGGTACCTGGCACAAAGCAGAAGTGCAACCATAACCATTCAAAGTATGCATAAACTAAGAAAGAATCCCCACAGTTTTCCAAAAGGGATTATTGATGATCATTCGTGAACTTCAGACACAGAACTTCTCTGCATGAGTGTTCACCATTTTCTTTAAATGTTTCATTTTACAAGCCTGGCCAGCCTCTCCTTTGAAGTCTCTCCTGCTCTTTTCCCCCAGGGCATGCTCCTCATTCTTTTACCACTCTAAACTGCCTGCCTATTTTACCTCTAACGCCACCTCTTCCTCCCCTTGCTCCCTAACGTAGATGCTCTCCAAGACTCAGTGTTGGTCCTTCCTAGGCCAGGTTCAGTGATCAGTTCTGAAAACAGACCTGCACTCAAATATTCAGTCCCCACCTCTGTGATGCTCAATCCCAATGCTGCGTGTGTGCCCTTTCCTTGCCAGCTTTGTGGCTCCCAATGCCTACTGAACGCCCCATGTGAATGGTCCATTGTCCCCTGCAGTTCAACATATCTAAATCCACATTCTTCATCCTGTCTCCACCCTGAGCCATCATCCCACTCCATCCCTATGCCTTGTTCCCCAGGCACAAAATCTTAGGTGGATCCTGACCATCATGCCAAGCACCCTTAGTTGTTGTTTTTTCTTTTTTTTTCTTGACGTTCTGGTTGTAAGGAAGTATACATCTTTAAGAATTATTCAAAACTATGGAATCTTTACCCAGAAAAGTGGTCACACCCTCAGACTACTGCAAACAATCTCAAGATCTCAAAGGTTTCATGTTGGCTTCTAAGCGCCACCTCTGGACTGTGAGTTAAGGAACTCTCATTCAAGGAGAAGTCTGACACATTAAGGTGGGCACAAGAAGACCAGAGGGTCATTAAAGATACTTTCTGATTATTTTCCAAGTTTTCCTAGAGCCAAGATTAGAACCAAATTCTTCCTAATGCTCAAGATATTCTCTGCTAAGGAATGATATACCTTTAGCTTCCAGGACAAAAGGAGGGCCATTACTCCCTGTCTAAGAACAGGTGGAATCAGCTTCAGTGCCTTCAGTAAGCAAAGGAATGAGGCTTCTCAAGCAATGCAGCACCTGCCTAAATGTCTTCCTTAGGGATAGCACATCTGTGGCATTTATGGCTGATGCCACTTTCCTAGGGACACAGCTTCCGCCAGTGAGATACCTACGTGCTAACACAGTTTAAAATGAAGAGTCAGGGACTTCCCTGGTGGCACAGTGGTTAAGAATCTGCCTGCCAATGCAGGGGACACGGGTTCAAGTCCTGGGCCAGGAAGATCCCACATGCTGCGGGAAAACTAAGCCAGTGCACCACAACTACTGAGCCTTCGCTCCAGAGCCCACGAGCCAGAACTACTGAGCCCACGTGCCACAACTACTGAAGCCTGCATGGCTAGAGCCCGTGCTCCGCAACAAGAGAAGCCACTGCAATGAGAAGCCCACGCACTGCAGTGAAGAGTAGCCCCCGCTCGCTGCAACTAGAGAAAGCCCGTGTGCAGCAACGAAGACCCAACGCAGCCAAACATAAATAGATAAAATAAATAAATTTTTAAAAAATATTTTAAAACATTAAAAAATAAATAAAATGAAGAGTCAGACAAGATAATCTCTATGTTAGTTTCCTAGGGCCATAGTAACAAATCACCACAGACTGGGTGGCTTAAAACAACAGGAATTTATTATCTCCCAGTTATGGGGCTGGAAGTTTGATCAAAGTGTCCTCAGGATCACGCTCCCTCTGCAGCTCCTACAGGAGGATCCTTCCTTGCCTCTTCTGGTTTCTTGTCGTGCATGCGTTCCTTGACTTATGGTAGCATTACTCTGATCTCTGCCTCCAGCTGCAGGTGTCTGTCTTTCTGTGTGTCTCTTTTTGCCTCATCTTCCCTCTGAGTCTGTGTCCAAATTTCCCCTTCTTACAAGGACACCAGTTATATTAGGTTAAGGCCCCCCCCTTCTCCAATATGACCTCATCTTAGCTAATTACATCCACAATGACCCTATTTTCAAATCAAGTCACATTCTGAGGGACAGGGATAATTCTATTTAAGATTTCAATATATCTTTTGGCGGGGGTGGAGGCGTGGAGGGGGACAACACAAGTCAATGCACAACAATAATGTCCGAACATCAGAAATGAAGCCCTGTGGTCTCATTCAATGATCCCAAGTTGCGTTTCAGAGTCCACCTCCACACACTGCCCCGAATAGCCACTAGCCATCACCGGAGCTGGCCAAAGAGAGGAGGCTTAAAAAACTCCAGTTTTTGATAGTGAGTAAAAGAAGGGATGATGATAAACTGTCATTCTATGATTATAATAGTCTGTGTTTAAAACGTGTAAGAATAGATCAAAATAATTCACAGAGAAAAATGGCATAACTTACTTCTCCCCCAAAAAAAACACCAATGGAGTAAAATACTAATTTTAACCTTAACTGTATTGTTTAATAATTACATTTGTTTGTTATTCACTTTGCCTTGGGCAGTGATGTTATCTTCTGCTAGTCTGTGTAGCAGTTCTTAGGAAACCATTTCTTTACATTTATCATAATAAATGATTTGTTTAATATTCTATTTTTTCCAAACATGGAAATAGCATTTTGTCAGTACACTTCTTTCATTCAAA